AAACGGAGTTTTCCTCTAAAAACGCTTCACGTCCACACTGTCGTTTCTATTCGTTTTCCAAAACTTTGTCATCCACACTGAAACGACTACCAATGCTTTCAACCTGTACTGCGCATGCGTGAAACGTAAGACGCTTCGTCACGCGTCATTTCCGGCTGACGTTTATTTTCTTTCCGGCTCTTTGAAACGTTGCGGCAAAATGTCACGGAAAATCACAGAGTTTTTTAAATGGACTGACAATGAAGTAGAGTTGCTGCTTCGAGTAACACATAAATACAGTCGCGTAGCGCAAAATGCGGAGGCCGCCCTGCAGAGATCACTGACGGGGCCCCCTAATGTATTGGTGACGCGATCACAAATTAAGGAGCGATCACAAATTAAGGAGCGGGGAAGGCAGGCGGGGTGAAGCGACAACGCGGGGAAGCCTTCACAAACTGAGGAGCGATCACAAACCGAAAGCGGCGAGAGCGTCAAAGTAGCCAGAAGTCATTCATTTTCAATGAAAACCGGCGGCGAGAAACAGCGCACCGCGTCTTCTCCGGTGTGTGAGCGTCAAGGAGAGATCAAATCAAGTCAACTTTGAGCTACGATATGACCCGGTCCGGCGGCAAGCAATCAGAATAAAGCAGTCCACCGCTTGAGAGGTGTTCAGAGAAAACAGACCTGTGAACTTTGGTTCCGACCACAGTTGTTCCCAAGAGTTTGATTATTGCGGTTGCTGGATTTTCAACTATTGAAAATCGTGACGACGCGGGGCCCCCTAATCACGCGGGGCCCCCCCGCGGTGCGTGCCCTGCGGGCCCATCCGCTACGCCACTGCATGAATACAAAGTTGCAAAAGAGAGTGAAAATGTAGACTGGGAGACGTGCCAAAACAAATACGCCCATATACTGGACCGCTTTAAAGAACAGTATCCTGCTGATGACGCTGCTTACCCTCACAGTAAGGACGACATCACTAAAATCATAATCACAACGAAAATAAAGTAAACGAATTAGTAACATGAGTGTCACATGACAAAAAACGCGTCATCGTTTTCGAAAGACTCCGTTTTCACAGTCTACACTACGACACGAAAAAGGCGTTTTCAAATTTATCCACTTTGGAGAGCGTTTTCAAAAAGATACGTTTTTGTTTCCTAAAAACGCGTCTCAGTGTGGATGGAAGGGAAAAACGGGGTCGCAACAGCGGAATGAACTGCCAACTATTCCAGCATATATTTCATGCAGCGGATGCCATTCCAGCTGCAACCCATAACTGGGAAACAACCATACACACTCGTTCACACACACACTCATACACTATGGCCAGTTTAGTTCATCAATTCCCCTATAGCGCATGTGTTTGGACTGTGGGGGAAACCGAAGCACCCGGAGAAAGCCCACGCCAACACGGGGAGAACATGCAAACTCCACCCAAAACCATTTCATGTCACACAATTTCTGAAAACCTCTCACCCAAATTGCAAACCTACTGCTGGATCATCTGTTGATCTGCATAACCAATACTGCAGAAGACCTACTGGAACCAGCATGGAGCTAAGATTCAGTCAAGTTTGGTGAAGGAAAAGATCATGGTTTGGGGTTACATTCAGTATGGAGAGATCTGCAGAGTGGATGATCAACATCAACAGCCTGAGGTATCAAGACATCTGTGCTGCCCATTACATTACAAACCACAGGAGAGGGACAATTCTCCAGCAGGATAGCGCTCCTTCTCATACTTCAGCCTCCACATCAAAGCTCCTGAAAGCAAAGAAGGTCAAGCTGCTCCAGGATTGGCCAGCCCAATCACCAGACATCAACATTATTGAGCTGATGAAGGAGGAGGTGTTGAAGATGAACACAAAGACTCTTGATGAACTCTGAGAGTCCTGCTGAAGGCTTTCTTCTTCATTCCAGATGACTTCATTAATCAGTGATTTGAGTCAGTGCAGATGATCAACCAGAAGTCAAGTTAATATTTGCTGTTCCAAAAGAATTAGACTTTTGTCAAGTAGTGTGTGTGTGTTAGTGTGTGTGTGTGTGTCCAGGCATGCATGCGTGTATGTGTGTGTCCGGTGCAGGACACTCTCAGGTCTCTGGAGTTAATGAGGTGAACGCTGGAGGAATAACCTTTAGGTGAAGGCCATACATCAAAGCAGCCGGCCATAAAAGCTGCAATGAAGACAAAAGCATTAAAGCAGCATAAAGAAGCCGCGAGAATGCTGAGCAAGTGTTATCAATCACTATAATGCTCAGGGATTCAATTACTGCAGGGCTGGAGACGGCTCTTTTATTGGGGTGCGTTCAGTATGGATGTGAAGAAAAGAGCTGCTGAACTTCTGCAGGAGATCAGTGTTAGGAGACGGTAAACCAGGGACACTGCATCACATCACGGCAAGGGTGTGTCTCAATCTGCACACTTGTTCACTAGTCAGTGCACTGATCAGGGCAACATTTTCAGTCTGCATTGTTTTTTTGTTTATTGTTCTTCTCCTGTGGTTTGTAATGTAATGGGCAGCACAGATGTCTTGATGCCTCAGGCTATGGAATCAGTTTAGTCTCAAAAGTAATTCACGCAAAAGACACGATGTACACATGCGTAGCCAAATTCACGTGCATAAAATCAAATTCACGTGCGTAACATATTTATTTATATTCACAAAAAATTTCACGTGCACAAAATAAAAATACATTTTCATAAAATACGTTTCACAAATGCAAAACACCATTTGCAAATGTATAAGAGTGTACAAAACATTTTGAATGTTTTAAACTTGCGAGTTCATCCTGAATGAGAATGTGCAAATCCTCTTTCACGTACGACTCCCCCTGGATATGTGTGTGTGTATTTTTGAGACTTTCCTGCCAGAGGCAGGGTAACTCGTACCTTTCAGCCAATCAGATGAGAGCTGTAGTCAATGACACCAACTGTGCGCTTCAGCGGCCCACCTGTTCACAACTGACTATATTAAAATAAGAGAATTTCCAATTCAGTTTCTAATGACACTATCAAGTCTTTTTAAAGAAAACAGCTGCTTTATACTTTTTATTGTATTTTTATACAGGCTGTTGATGTTGATCATCCACTCTGCAGATCTCTCCATACTGAATGTAACCCCAAACCATGACTTCTCCTTCACCAAACTTGACTGATTTCTGTGTGAATCTTGGCTCCATGCTGTTTCCAGAAGGTCTTCTGCAGTATTGGTGATGATTGAGATGCAGATCAACAGATGAAAAATCCACCTTCTGACACTTTTCCAAATGTTCAACTAGAAGTCAAGTTATTATGTGTTGCTCTTACAACTGGGATCAACAACAAGACTTTTGTCACGTAGTGTACATACATGCACATACATACACACACACACACACACACACACACACACACACACACACACACACACACACACACACACACACACACACACACACACACACACACACACACACACATTTACACCTACATACAGTACATGCACATACTACAACTATTACAAATCAATACAATAATGCACTTTAGGTTTGTGTGATTTTAACTGTTTTACATATTTTATATATTTTAAGGTATCCCACTTCGAAATGCTTGACATTAATAGTAGGTTTGGCATGCTGTGCCGGGAGAGAACCACAAGCTCAGATATAATTGAGCTCAAGGCTCCTGCCCGGTCAATAAGCATATAAGAGGATTCGAGATCAGGTAGCTCTTGAGAGCTCCTCTTAGAAAAGGGAGGAAAAGGAGGAGCTGGGGTGGAAGGGGGGATTCTTCTAGAATGAAGATAGAGCAGTAGGGAAACATTGGTCCATTTATTGCAAGCTTGGATCAATCTGATTGGATTATTGTGAATGAATGAATGAAATAGGAAATTATTGAAAGGAGTGAAAGAATGCAAAAAAGATCGAAATAAAGAATGAAAGAAATATGAATGAATGAATGAATGAATGAATGAATGAATGAATGAATGAATGAATTAAATGGCAAATGATTTTAAGGAGTGAAAGAATGCATGAATGAATGAATGAATGAATGAATGAATGAATGAATGAATGAATGAAATAGCAAATGATTATAAGGAGTGAAAGAATGCATAAAAGAATGAATGAATGAATTGAATAGCAAATGATTAAAAGGAGAGAAAGAATGCATAAATAAATGAATGAATGAATGAATAAATAAATGAATGAATGAATGAATGAATGAATGAATGAATGAATGAATGAATGAATGAATGAATGAATGAAATAGCAAATGATTATAAGGAGTGAAAGAATGGATGAAAGAATGAATGAATGAATGAATGAACTGAATAGCAAATGATTAAAGGGAGAGAAAGAATGATGAAAGAATGCATAAATGAATGAATGAATGAATGAATGAATGAATGAATGAATGAATGAAATAGCAAATGATTAAAAGGAGTGAACAAATGCAAGAAAAAATGAATGAATGAATGAATGAATGAATGAATGAAATAGCAAATGATTATAAGGAGTGAAAAAATGAATGAATGAATGAATGAATTGAATAGCAAATTAAAAGGATAATTAAAATAATTAAAAGGAGTGAAAGAATGATGAAAGATGAAAAAAATTCAATAATACAAAAACAAATCAGTGAATGAATAAATTAATGAATAAATAAATAAAAAAAAAGTGAATGAATGAATGAAAAACAACTGAATGAATGAAAGAATGAATGAAAGATTTAAATTAGATACAAACAAGTTAATGAATAAATGAATGAATGAATGAATGAATGTATGTATGTATGAATGAATGAATGAAAGAAAACAAACAAACGAGTGAGTAAATGAATAAATGAAAAACAAGTGGATGAATGAATGAATGAATGAACAAACAGGTGACAAAACAAACAAACGAGTGAATGAATGAATGAATGAATGAATGAATCAATCAATCAATCAATCAATCAATCAATCAATCAATCAATCAATCAATCAATCAATCAATCAATCAATTACTTAACAAGTGAATAAATGAATGAAAGTACTCACCGTCGGTGTTGCCCTCTCCAGGCGGCTGGTAGAAGGACAGACCCAGAGAGATCAGGGCTGCGATTTCCAGGATGATGAGGGTCACGTCTTGTAACGCTTCCCATACTAACTGTAAAAAAGTTTTTGGCTTCTTTGGAGGTATAAGATTTCGCCCGAAGACTTCTTTTCTTTTATCCAGATCTGTGGCCAACCCTGCCAAACCTGTGGAAAAACAACACAATGACTGATGTTACAACTGGCTCAGACACACGGCTTCACACACGCTCAGTTTAATAGGTTCAGGGGTTCGGGGATGTGGAGGTCAAAAGGTCATCTGTAACCATGGTAACCAGGTGCAATCGCTGACTCTGTGTTAAGTCGGGATTGGCTAGTTAACTCCATAACCTGCAGTAAAAAATGGAGGAATGTGATTTATGTGCTGGAATGTGACCTTTTTTAATTTTATACGGTTCTTTTTACAGCACAGATTAATAAAGGGACTAAGCCGACAAGAAAATGAATAAATGAATTACCTGTCAGCATAGTGTCCTACAATAAAAGCAAAAAATAAATACAAAAAAAAAAAAGATAACAAGATCTTAACTGAACTCAAATTTGACTTAAAAACACAACCTACATCAATCATTTATTAATTTTCCTTCGCCTTAGTCCTTTACTTATTAGGTGTCGCCAGAGCGGAATGAACCGCCAACTATTCCAGCATATGTACAACCCAGTACTGGTAAACACCCATACGGATTTAATCTCACACACACTCATACACTATACTCATACACGTACACAATAATTGACTGTATTTAAATGTATAAAGTTTTAGAAGCATGTCATTGTAAAAATTTCACACTGTATTTTGCATACTGTCTTAAAGACCAATTATGTGCCTTTCTACAAGATGTAAGGTAAGTCTCTGATGTCTCTACCGTGTGTGTGTGTGAAGTTACAGCCCAGAATAGCACACAGATAATGCTTTGTAGCTCTCTGAGACAGACCCTTTAAGGCTTTGATCCCGATTGTGTTGTTTTGGTGAATGTCGCTTTAAATTCAAATGATATTCAAATGAGAGGGCGGAGCTACACATGCCTGTGTGTCAGCATAGTGGCAGACTCATAAACAGGACTGTGTGAAGTGTCAGAATGTGTATCTCCACATCTATAATCCTCTTAAAGCAGCTCAAACACTCTAATGGCTGATGAACAGACGGCTGCTTCTCACTAAGGGCTGCTGTTTATGCTAATGAGGGAGAGACGGGCGCTAGTGGGCGGGGCTTTCCCCCTCTGATGACACGTATAAAGGGAGAATGTCAATCAAAGTGTGTCTGCAGACTGTTTTCTTGTCGGTTTAGTCCATTTATTAATCCGGGGTCGCCACAGCGGAATGAACCGCCAACTTATCCAGCACATTTTTACGCAGCAGATGCCCTTTCAGCCACAACCCATCTCTGGGAAACATCCACACATACACTACGGACAATTTAGCCTACCCAATTCACCTGTACCGCATGTCTTTGGACTGTCGGGGAAACCGGAGCACCCGGAGGAAACCCACGCGAACGCAGGGAGAACATGCAAACTCCACACAGAAACTCCAACTGAGCTGAGGTTCGAACCAGCGACCTTCTTGCTGTGAGGCGACAGCACTACCTACTGCGCCACTGCCTCGCCCTACTGTTTTTATCAAGTCAGATTAATTAATTTAATTCATGTTTAACCATCAGAGTCACACACTCCTGACACACAACTGGGTTTAAACCCCTTATAAACGTGATTTTTGCATAATAGATCCCCTTGAAAAACATTATATTTTATTAGAGCCTGCACTCTCTATGCTTTGACATTAAAAGAGATTTGATTTGGGATGTATGAGGCTTCCAGACACACAGCAGAGCAGGTTCAGCATTAAACTGACCGCAGATCAGCTGCAGTTCTATAAGAGAGTGACGGCTGAAAGCTCTTCTCTCCTACTGCTTCTCTACAGTCTCTGCAATCTCACTTCTCTTCACTGCAGCAGAAAAAGGCTTTACATCTCTTGCCCACGAATGCAAAATGAGCAGTCGGGTCTCTGCGAGTGAGATCGGGCCTGGTGTCACCGCAGTCTCCAATTACCAGCTGACTCACAGCACAGTTACTCACTCCTGCACACTTACGTACAGCCTGAGGAGCTGCACAGACAGACGCACGTACTGCTCAACTCACTACTACACCGACAATGAAGAAAAATAAAATAATGTCCCTGCGAAATCAGAGTTACGTTTTTACATGTTAGTATGAGAAAGATCAACACAATCTCACGGCAATTCGTAACTTTTTCATTTAGTGGCTAATTCGTACAAATTCGTATGATCTAATTCGTACATTTTAGTACGATTTGCGTATCCCCCAATGTTTAGGGGTTGGGTTTAGGGGTGGGGTTAGGTGCCACGCCTCCTTTTTAAAATCGTACATTTTCTTACGACTGAACTCGTACAAATTCGTACGAATTAGCCACTAAACTGCCAAAACGTAAAATACTTACGTTTTCTCGTGAGATCAGGCAGGAATGATAGTCTTAAAGGAGAGCTGTTATGCAAAAATCACCCAGTTGCGTGTCAGCAGTGTGTGAATATATCCAGCCTCTAATGCTAAACATTTACTGGTATGAGATCAGTGTTGAGGAGTAGCTAGTTACATGTAACGGCGTTAGGTAATTTAATTACAAAATAAAAGTAACAGTAATTAAATTAGTTACTTACGAAAACGTTGAGGATTACAAATGGGGTTACATCTGAATATGCTGAATAATATTCATCTGTTGCTTTTCCTGTTTTTGATATGCAGGAAGCTTTATGCTGAGGCCATTTATTATATTTATTTCATTTATTTCATTGCTCATTAACCGAAACTATTGGTTAACACTGTGATAATTGATTTGCTGTCTTTTTTTTTTTTTTTTTGTGAAATGTTTTTTGGATAAAGGTATTTTTTCGAGAGGTTGATGTACTGTAATGAAAAAGAAAATGTTGATAATAATAATAATAATAATAATTCCTTACATTTATATAGCACTTTTCTGGGCACTCAAAGCGCTTTACATAGTGGGGGGAATCTCCTCATCCACCACCAGTGTGCAGCATCCACCTGGATGACGCGACAGCAGCCATTTTGCACCAGACCGCACACCACACACCAGCTGATTGGTGGAGAGGAGACAGTGATGCAGCCAATTGAATATGGGGATGTTTAGGTGGCCATGATGGATGAAGGCCAGTGGGCAGATTTGGCTAGGATGCCGGGGTTAAACCCCTACTCTTTTCGAAGGACATCCTGGGATTTTTAACGACCACAGAGAGTCGGGACCTCGGTTTAACGTCTCATCCGAAAGACGGCGCTCACTGAGCAGTATAGCGTCCCCGTCACTATACTGGGGCGTTAGGACCCACACAGACCGCAGGTTGGGCGCCCCCTGCTGGCCTCACTAACACCACTTCCGGCAGCAACCCAGCTTTCCCATGTGGTCTCCCATCCAGGTACTGACCGGGCGCAGCCCTGCTTAGCTTCAGTGGGCGACCATGTGAGAGTTGCAGAGAGCGAGCTGCCGGCGATAAACTTGATGATATTTGATGTGCTGTTTTGTTAAGTAATGTTACTGAAAGTAAATGTATTTTGCAAGTAATTGACCATGATATTGTAACGAAAAGGAGAGGTTGGAAACTTGATGTTTGATGTGCTGTTTTCTTGCGAGATTATGTTTTGGAAGGAAAAGGTAATTTTCGAGTAATTGATCATGATATGTTGTAGTGTAAATTGTTAAAATATAATGATAATTGATATGATGTTTTCCTATGTAGTAATGGTTTTTGAATGTAAGTTTTTTTCGTATGTCTTGCAAATCGTTTTTGAATATGCAGGTAAATGTCTCCTGTATAATCGGTTGTGAGAGTAGAGATGAAGGTAAGATTTGTTATTTTTAATCTTTGGGTATTTGTCAAATGTAGAAAACTTTTAATGTCAACTGTTAGAATTTTTTTGTATTGATGTACACCTGATTAGTGATGGTGGTTGATGCACTTTATCTCTGTGGAGTGAGGTCGGAAATGGGAAGATTGTTTATTGTCATTGCTGGGAAGATTATTGTGTGATTAATTGATAATGAAATGAGAGTGACGGTTTAACTAATTGCACATTGTGATTGACTATGGAATAAAAGGGTGGAGTTGGAGAATTGTGTCACACACTGAGGAAGGCTTTGTGCCGAAACGTCTGTTTGTCTGTTATCACCCATAAAATGTAAGAAAAAGTACGAATGAAAACAGTATGAAGCAATTGAGTGCGAATCATTACCTTCTTTTGAATAATAGTAACGATCAGATTAACGCACCAAACCAAAGAAGTAACTAAAAAAGAACCGCAAGCGCGCAGGACAAACTTCAGTAACTCTGCATTGCTGGAGATGTAAAATAATTTCACCCTGAAATCAGAGAAGGGCACACATATAACAGTTCAGTTTGCCGGCTGTTAAAATACTTTCAACACCAAAGGCTTCAATGTCAATGCTGTGAAAGCATCTGCAGGTAACCTAGCCTTTCTTTATTTTATAAAAGCAAACGGTTGTCGTTATGGTGAGTGTACAGAAATAAAAACAGACCCTTTCATTTCCAGTGATATTTTTATGACTCACAAAGTTATTGATGGGGTGAGGCAGTGGCGCAGTAGGTAGTGCTGTTGCCTCACAGCAAGAAGGTCGCTGTTTCGAACCTCAGCTCAGGTGGCGTTTCTGTGTGGAGTTTGCATGTTCTCCCTGCGTTCGTGTGGGTTTCCTCCGGGTGCTCCGGTTTCCCCCACAGTCCAAAGACATGCGGTACAGGTGAATTGGGTAGGCTAAATTATCCTTAGTGTATGAGTGTGTCTGGATAAGTTGGCGGTTCATTCTGCTGTGGTGACCCTGGATTAATAAAGGGACTATTCAGGACACCAACAGACTCCTCTGGCCAAAGCGGTTTTGTCACATTACTAGTGTTGGGCAGTAGATTCGCTACAAGTGGTGACACCGCTAGCTTAACTACATGCGTGTCAATAGCTACTTTCAAAATCACAAAGCTTTTCAGTAGCGAAGCTATTTTAATAGTGAAGAAGCGCAGTAGCGTCAACACAAGCTACATTTACTGATCGCAGATCAATAAGTGACGGCACCGACATTCCCTGCTGAAAAATCCAGCTTAAACCAGT